CCAACTAGTTATCGTTCAAACTCTAAAAACAAATTATGAACTAACTCAAACGGATTCATCAACTGGTGCAGTGCCATCATCCTGAAACCATGGTTTTTATATGCCAACTTTTGCTATAAGGCGAAAAGTATTTTTTTGAGAGGCCTATAATACCGATTTGTGTCACACTGGCACTCTTTTGAGCAGTACACAATACACAGGAAGCGCAGCCTGTTCGCTTGGTCGTATTTGGCTTATAAGCCATGGTTTATCAGCCAACGAACAATATTTTTCTTTCATACCAAACCAGCCAACAGTACTTTCAGCCATGGCTTATAAGACAAACCAGCCCAAACGAACAAGCTTAACTTCTGAGTTGTGTGACACACTGACAAACTGTTTTTCAGAGGTAGGCTACAGACAATCTGTACGTACTGAATTGTAATGCTTCTACTGGTTGAATGGTCTCTGAATTCGATAAGCACATTCAAAATAAAACGCCAATAAGACTGAATTGTTGAGTAGTATTTACTATTTAGAAACGCTATATACGAGCCAATTATATACAGATTAGGTACATTATATACAAACAACTCTGGTGCAAACAACTATCATAAGCACTCCCAAGACTCGAGTCGAATCGATTCCGCCTCATCTTTAACCACTGCTACACATGATGAGCGATGCCGCAAAGGCGGCAGCGGCAACAACTGCTATAATGTATCTCCTAAAAACAACATAGAATTCAAGTTACACCTAGTTAATTAGAGACTCCGACGCATTACATGCTGAATACTTTTAGATTACACAACACACTCAGTCCATGTACAGCTGTAGTTCCCATGTACATGGTACTGCAAGCCCATTGAGCCACGTATATATACTACCATTCCAAGCTGAGGCTTTTGCAGCCTGATAAAACTATTAAGTGGTTCAAATAATTGTGATGGAATATGCATGCCTATGCCCTATAGTACAATGGTTGGCATCTGATGCCCATAGCGACATTCAAACCATCAGCTTTCCCATAAAAGGGGAACAATCTACTATATATAAAGAAAATGAATCTGCATCATAGGATTCAGGCTGTGTTAGCAAACAATCTAACCTCTGTATTTCATCAATGCTATGTGCACAACGTATATGATTGAGCATCTGTCTTCCCCCTGTAGTCACTGAAGACTTGCCTGAACCAGGCCATTCATCCTTGATGAACATTATGACGCTAGACATCATATATATGTTGACAGGTCCAAGTAAATGCATCCTTCTCAAGTGAAATAATTTCTAGAAAAGGATTGCACTTCTAACAATGTTCGGATGCTTAGTGCTGATTCAACATGAACTCATGATCTTTTGTAATCAAGTCAAGTTGTTAAATATATGAGATACATTTCCCAATATATCAAGACATTTGCATTTAATGTCACAGCTAAAAGATGTTATGTGACAAGAGAATTTACATGCTGTAAAATCAAGAAATGGTCAAACACAGTGAAACTATCACGCAATGCACCCAATCATCGACTGTACTAACAAAAGAAACTAAGAAAATAACATACGCTAGTAGAATTGTAAACAGAACAATCCATGCTATAATATAACACTGACAGAAATACAACGCAGGGAGCAACAACATCAAAATGCTCCCAGATTCTAGCAACAAAGGAGAGGATAACCTACACCAGGAATATCTTTAACGAGCAAGTCAATCATCCACAACATTGAGAATTATGGATTCATTGTTTTATAAAAGATAGATTGAACATAGACTTGAAAAACATACCATTTAATAGCTAAACCAGAAACACCTGAAGCACCTTCCAGTTTCCAGTGGTGCCTAAACAAATTGGAAACAGAATTCTTGCACAGGCAAAGAAATCTGTGCCAAACCATATGGGCCACAGACAACTATATATGGAACCTAACATCCAGATATTTTTTCTTTCAAAACTTAATAATTCAGATTTCAGATATTTTAGCTGCGCAATTAAGCAGTTATGACATTAAAGATGCTGAATCAAAGATATAGGGGTCTGAAAGGGGAGGGCACGTACCTTGAGCAAGGAGAGCACCAACACCTTTAAGCAAGTAAACACTAACAGAGACTAGAAGAATGGGTTAGAAAATGCACCTGGGGCCAGCAAGCAAACACATACCACACACATGTACCAAACCAAAACATACCACACATGCAGAGGCCACCATTCTTGTCCTATCGTCAATGCTAAAAACCAGTATCCAGCAGCTTGTTAGTCTCAGCAAACACACCTTCCACTGGCAATGAATTTCATGTTTTTTTTTATAAGGAACGAATTTCATGTTAAATTTGTCCTACATGACAGAAGCAGTAAAGCTAAAAAATACAGCCAAGGAATTAAAAATGGTTAGTTTTACTCCACCTAAGTACCACAACTGTTTAGGAGCCAATGTACATTTGTCTCAGGGAGCTCAATTGTCCTACTCTTGTACTAGAACAGTTCTCCAATCAAGTTAAATCTCCCAGGTCATCATTTGGGCATATATAGTATCCACAGGTTTCAATTCAACATATTCCACCATATGGTTTTTCCATATTTGACACTGCAAAAATTGAAACACACATTGGCTCCTCAATTCCCAGTATCATACATCGCACTCAGCTTACCATGATACATACATCCCTTTAAATATTCATCGAGCTCTTCTTTCAAATCCATCAGAAACAAACTTTCTTAACCAAACAGTATTGTGAAAACCGATTGTTTTAGCAGCCTGCAATCAGAATAAAGTCATCTTGAAATGCTTCCATAACCAAAATCATCGACACCTTAAATCCCAAAAATGAAGAAACATCTGTATTACGAGGCATGTGGTCACAAAATGTGAATCCCTGGCACATAAGATCGAGTACCATCCAACAAAACCAGACAATGATGTGAATCTATGATAAATTTCCTACTCTGTTCAGCCAATACAGCATGCCCTAATTCCTTCTAAAAGAGCAAGAAGAAACACGCAGCAGATTAGCTAACAATTTCTCCAACTGGTCACAAGCCATCATTAACCAGGTGCCCTGCAATGCCTCAGCAAAAGCAGTACAGGTATGGACTGAGTGCACTGAATGGATCCTCAGCAAATCATGCTTGCCAATGCCATTTGATCGCTCATGTTATTACTTGATATGATGCATGTCTCAAGCTTCTATCTTCTTCTCCCATAGAAAAGAAGGAAAACCTCGCACTTGAGAACTTCGTCTAGAGACACTTCTGCGATGCTCAATGACACCAACTAGACGATATCTAGCATTATCTTTGTCCCCAGACCTGAAGGTTTGCGAAATAATAATTCAAAAGGTCAAACAAACGAAATGTTAGATTAGCTATCAACATCACTAACAAGAAAATACTACCAGATTAACAGTTTTGACATATATCAAGTGACTAGCTGATTCCAAAACATAAAACAAAATTAGTGTCACAGTACAATTGTATTAATAGTCAGTTCATTCCATTTTTTATCCACACAAAAAGGGAAAATAAAATCCTTAGCTGTTTCATTTTGCAGAAAGGGATCACATAGCCATTGGCATATGTCGCAAATCGCCTATATGTGAGACCCAAGACTAGGCAGTCATCACAATTCAATTAGACTTCCCAATCAGCATGCAATGGAAGTACTAGATGCAAGTTGCCTATTGTCCCATTTTCATAGTACAGTCAGATATACTAAAAAGCATAACTAAACTATTATAGAAATCTTTGTTCTGTACCATTTTTTACAAAATTTTCAGACCTTTTTCAACACTGCTGCTATTTTTGTGCATATACTACAGAGGTCACACTTGGGTCGCCAGGAGTGACAAAACCCAACAGAAACAACATAGGCAACAAAAGAAACCCAAGTAGCACAAGACAAAGTGATAAATTATTAAGAACTCAAACAAATTTATTTCTAGCACTACTCCAGGTCAGACAAATGGCAACTAGAAATTCTTTTATAAAGACATAAAAGCACCTTCTGAATGAACAAAATTGAAACATGCAGTCTAAACAACTATTTTGAACTATACACCATATCTTCTTCAATCTTTCCTAAAGATACTGAACAAACTATGAAATAAAAAGTAGCTACTGCAAATGAGAAACTTCAAGCTGCACAAAAGTAATAACTATTGCAGTTAAAAACTTCGAACTTGGGTCTTCTCCCACTTGGTTTGCAGTATTTTCCAGCTCTACTTGTTGTGTTCTATCCTTATTCAGTGCGCTGGCATTTTTGTTACCATGCACTCAACAGGTTGCTCTTTTCCTCCACTTTTCTGTGATGGTCACGTTAAGCTCGGGCCGTCAAGTGATGTGCTTTCACTGATGTTTGCCACCATCTGTCCTCTATCTATGCTTCGGCAGGTGGGGCAAGAGAAAGCAAAATCTTTTGAGCACACTGGTCCTTCCATTGATCTTTTCATCACAAAGCCTGTTTATCACAAATAACCAAAAATACAGAAAGTAAGAAACGAGGAAAAACATACTAGGACAATAACTAACAAATTTCTAGCCACTGAAGTGCTCCCACAATGCAACTACTGAAGTATCATCACATTGTGGATTCATTGTTCTATAAAAGATAGATTGAGCATAGCCTTGAAAAACATACCAATTAATAGCTAGAAGCACCTGAAGCATCTTCCAATTTTTAGTGGTGCCTAAACAAATTGAAAACAGATTGTCTAGCACAAAAAAAGAAATCTGCACCAAACCATATGGGTCACAGACAACTATACTATATATGGAACCTAAAATCCAGATATTTTCAGTTTTGAAAACTTAATATTTCAGATTTCAGATACTTGTAGCTGCATAATTAAGCAATACGACAATAAAAGTGCTGAACCAAAGATAGGGCCGGGAAGGGGAGGGAATGTACCTTGAGCAAGGTGGGCAGCAACACCTGTAAGTAAGCAACTAAAACAGAGACTTGAAGAACAGGTTAGAGAACGCACCTGGGGCAAGCAACGAAACACATACCGCACGCACAGACCAAACCTAGCACATGTCCATCTCTGGAGGGGGAGGTGGGAGCTGCACCGCCGCTGCCGCTGCCGGCTGCGGCGGCGGCGGATCGTACCTCATGGCGTACACCCCATACACGGGCATGTAGTAGACGATGCACACGCACGTCATGACCACCGTGGCGGCGATGCAGAGGTACACCCAGACGCGGAAGATCGGTATCCAGAGGCGGGCCTCCTCGGGGTCAGTAGTGAAGGAGATGACCTTGACGATGCAGATCATAATGTGGAGCCCGACCATAGCCATGCCCCAGGCGCGGCCCATGCCGCCGAACACGCAGGACACGGCGTACGGAAAAAGCAGCTTCACCTTCATCGGCGGCGAGGGACGCTTCTCATCCTCCGCCGCCGCGGGTGGGGCCGGAGGTGAGCTCGGCATCGCAACAGGAGCCGAAGGGGCGACGAGTCGAGAGGAGCGGAGATCGAGCGAGGAGGGAGGAGCACCTGCGGACATCGGGCGAGGAGGGAGGAGCACCTGCGGCCTCGCCGGAATCGATCGAGGGAGCCGCCGGGTCGAGATCGCGAACCGCCCGAGGAGCTGCGGTCGGGAGATCGAGATCAAGATAGCAGGAATCGAAAACTTTGGGGATCGATTGTTCTTGTTCTGGGAGGCGGGGTGGAGGCGACGCCGACGCGCTGGGGTTTTATTGCCTGCGGTTGTGAGCTGGAAGAAGAAGAAGAGTCGGAATCGGCTGCTTGGCCTCCCGCGGGTTTTTTCATTATACCGTCTTTGAGCTCTTTCTTTTTTTTTTTAACAAAAATAAATAAAAAAGGATTTTTCATTAATACCGTCTTTACCCCTTGAGTCTTGACGACAAAAATAAAATAAAAGTAAATAAATAAAATGGGTGCTTTGGTGTTCTAATCATCCAATCCGGTGTTTTTATAGTTGATTTTGTTTTTGCAAAGGCAATGAAACGAGTTCTTGTTTGTGTCTTTGTGTTACCATCTTGTTGATTTAAATCTCGGCATCTCACAATGGCCGAACGTGTATCCAGGCTTCCAGATCCAGTATGGCTGGTATTGGCGGTTGATATTCTTTCAACGTACCAGATGAGTGGGTTAATGTTTGTTCCATGAATTAAGAAACAACCATATAGTTTTATTTTAGATGAGTAAGATCTGTCACGTAACTGTACGAAACCTCATGTTAATTCAACTAGTTCTAAACTTGTTCATCTTCCAAAGTATTGCAAAGTTCCTATTGTTTTTTTTTTCCACTGGCATGGTTTTGCGTGAGCATCCAAGGTGCATAGGGTTGGATCGGATGTAGATCACTTGCTGATGCTTCCATTACAGATTTGATCAAGGTTCGGAAAACAAACTGGTTCGGAAAAAAAAAACTAGTTCATCATAGCATATTCCAACACTTATTGGCTCCGTTCGGCTTGCTGAAATTGACTAGAAAAACACTGTTACGACTGAATTGTTGTGAGAGAAAAACAATGTTCCGGTTGAAAAAACAAGCCGAACAAGCCAGCTTTGTGACCAGCCGAACGGGGCCATTAGGACTACTTCCTCCGTCCCACAATAAATGATGTGATAGCATTCAAAATGTGTCTCAAAAAAACAGTAACATTTTAGCCTAAAGTGTGGATTCCACCCTATACCAAGTACATCAAAGGTCCATCCATCATCTCGCTGTGGTCCAAAATATATATAGAAATAAAAAAAATAAAAAAACTGATGGTGTGGGAGGAGGCTTATCCTTTCCATTAGTCCCTCACTGGTTGTTGTTGTGAGAAAGCAGATCCTTTATGAGCATGTCAATATAGGGCCAAACGTCCGGGCCCGAGCTAGACACAGCCTGTAGTGACCGATCCAGGCACGACAAGCCATGTCGCTCGGGCCGTGCCTCTTACGGTCACGGGCTAGGCATTCGATCCAAGCACGACACTGAGCTGTTTTTCGGACTAGCCAACTTGGGAAGCACGACACTCCCAAGAAGGTTGGGCTATCCCACGGTTGGAGCAAATGACCGATGGGATGGAGAGGCGCTCGGGATCTCCAGCCTTCGGTATGGGACCTATGGCGCTCGGGGTCTCCACCCTCTAGGACAGGAGCGGTGGCGCTCGAGGGGGGGCTGGGGGCGTCGGTGCTACGGGTCTCTGGCCTCCCAGGACGGGAGCAGTTGCACTCGAGATCTCCGACCTCCGGTTCTGGAGCGACGGCACATGGGGACTGGGGCTAGGGGCAACGGTGCTTGGGATCTCAAGCCTTCGGGACAGGAGCGGCGGAGCTCAAGATCTCTGGCCTCCGAGACAGGAGCGGTGGTGCTTGAGGGTTTGGCTGGTGGCGGCGGGGTTTGGGATCTCCAGCCTCAAGGACGGCGAGTAGCGACACTCGGGGACCAGGGCCATGGGGACGGCGGCACTTGGGATCTTCGGTCTTTGGGACAGGACCGACGACGACGAGAGAGGGGAGGGAGGGGTGTCTGCGCAGGCGCACAGTATCCGCGCGTCACGAGGGGAGGCAAGGGGTGTCCGCGCGCGTGCGCGAGGGAAGGGGCAAGCGCCTCCACGGGTGCAGTGGACTGCGAGAGGAGAGAACGGCAGTTGGAGGCGTGGGTTAAGAGAAATAAGTTAGGGTTAGTCTGCCTGCGAGAGGGATTTATAAATTGGAGTGGGCCTCCATCGGGCCTTCCTTTAGATACCGGGCCGGGTCGCGCGTCGTGGTCACAGTCCAAGCATGGCCCTAGCTATCGGGCCGAACTGGCTTGGGCACGCTGACGACCGGGCTAGGCCGTGCTTGGGTCACGACCTAAGCACGGCCCTAGTTATCGGGCTAAAAGGCACGCTGACAAGTGACAACCGAGCCAGGCCGTGCTTGGCTAGGCCAAAAAACCAGGCTACCGTGCCAGCTACGTTTTCTAAAATGTTTCTTTTGTTGTGGAATGGAGTGAGTATGTAGTTTAGGAAAGGTGCTTCCAAGGCACCACTTCACCAACCGTGGATTTCACCTATTCAATATTTTTCTTTGATTTGTTATACTAAAGTCAATTGATCACAACATAATACAAAGCCCCGAAAATCATTCTAAACTGCAAACAGAGGTAAGCAAAGGTATTTCTTAAAACTGAGATGAGTAAGCAGAGATAGTTCGGCCCAATCTAACAGCTGTGATATGACCGATCAACAAGGGTCCACGCCATGTCTCCCTCGAAGATACAGGAGTACCGAGTAAGCTATAAGGAATAGAAAAAGAAAATGAGTGCTCGAGCTTCATTGATGGCGGGCGTAAAGCCCTGTTATTAGGCACCCTATTCTATTCGGTGCTGCGAGATATGCGGTGGAGAAAAGTGGGAAGAGAGGAAAAAGGTAACTCTGTTCATTACTTTTTTTTGTAAATAGTAAGAAAATGGTGCAAGCATGCCCAACCTAAAAACATAGCAAATCAAACCAAAAAAAATCTGATTTCTATGTTACTAGTTTGGTATGTTTGGTTTGGAGACGTCTTGGGATGGGATGATTCTATACTTGACTTTTAGGGTTAAATTGTTCCATTTCTTGTTTGGTTGAGACAGATGGGTACATGCATCCTTGTATTCTGTTTGGTTAGGATGATTAAACCAAATGAGATAGATGGGGGTTCGATATAGTTAGCTACATATGGCCCACTTGTTATCCTCTCATCCACCTCCCTTCATCTCTTGATTTTTTTCTTTTCGCTGCAATCAATGTGCTGCCTGCGCCACTCACCACCACTGAGACCCACGCCTACACTGCCACCTCAACCGCCCCACTTGTGCCTCCTCGCTGCCCCGCCTGCACGATTTCGCCACCTCGACCGATGCTGCCCATGTTACACGCCACAACCGCTCGCCACCTTGAGCCACCTCGCCTGCACTGCCTTGACCAGCCTCGCTCGACCTACACATCACAGAGGCAAACTGTGCCCGTGAGAAAAGCTGGCCATTCGGGCCGCCCGGCCTGGGCCGGCACGGGCCTGTGCCAGGCATGGCCCGGTAGGGCATGGCACGGCAGAGCACGATGGGCCGCCGGGCCGTGCCGCCCCAGTCCACCGTGCCTAGCCGACGGCCCAGGCATGGCTCGTCGGGCCACTTTCCATGCTGGGCTGGCCCAGAAAGCACGGCCTTTTTAATAGGCCAGGCCGGTCCGAGGCCCGCATTAGCAGGGGAAAGAAGAGAGGACAGAGGAGACGAGGTCCTCAGATCGGCCGCGTGCTCCAACAGCGTCGGCGGCGGCAGCGGGTGGCCAGGAGGAGGAGAGAGAGAGAGAGGCGGGGGAGGGGAGGCCGTCGGCGCGAGCTGCTCGAGTCGCGGGAGGTGGCGGGCTGGCGGCGACCGCCGGATCCGGCGACAGGAGCCAGGAGGAGGATGGATGAGGCCGGATCCGTGGAGGATGGAGGAAGCGCCCGCTCGACGCTGCTGCTGCTGCCGAGATCGACGGATCCGGCGGCAGGAGCTAGGAGGAGGATGGATGAGGCCGGATCCATGGAGGATGGAGGAGGCCGCCCGTTCGACGCTGCTGCTGCTGCCGAGCTCGATGCCGCCGCAACAGCGCTCGACACTGCGTCACTGCCGCTGTCGGGAGGCCATGAGGGAGGGAGAGGTCGTCCGCGCCGCGTCGCGGGAGGAAGACGAGGCTACAAGCGAGTGAAGGGCGCATCGCGGGAAGAAGACGAGCGAGTGCAGTTGCGGGCTTGCGGTGCGGGGGAGGGGACTGCGCGGGGCGCCGGTGTCGGGGAGGGGGAGGGGAAGGGAGTTAGGGTTCAGGGGTGGTGGGAGGACTGGAAGTGACGGAGCGTGGGGCTCCACGGGGGAGAGCCGCGGCCGCGCGGGCGTGCGGCTTATATATGAGGAGGGGGGAGGCGGGGATGGTGGGCCGGCTGCGCTGGGCCACGGGGAGGGGAGGAGTGAGGAGGGGGAGGGGGGTGGCCGGGCCGGCTAACGCATGCCGGGCCGTGCCGTGCCAGCCCATGGGCCTGAGCAGCGGCCCAGGCACGGCCTGCTCCCTCGGACCGGGCCAGCCCGGGCCCACATGTCACCAGGCCGTGCCGTGCTCGTGTCGGGCAAAAAAAGCGGGCTTCGTGCCGTGCCGTTGTGCCTCGGGCTGCATGGCCAGCTATACCCGTAAGGGGAACTGAGAGGAACACCACTCCCATCCCTTCATTTTTGGGGACAGAGTGAATCCACTTTTGTACTTAAGATTCCTCCTCTAAGGATGGTGCCATCTTCCTTGTTTGAGAACTAAACAACCTCAAATCTGGACTAGCCCCATCTCATCCCCTGTCATCCCACCAACCAAACACATATTTAGAAAATCATTGATGGATCCACAGCTCTAAAATTATCATTATGCCAATTAATTAGAAATACAACCAACACCACCATCCAAAAAATATCACCGCAAAGTATATAAACCAAGCTAGACTATTGGCTCAAGAAGTTTTTATCTACTTAAAACTGTGAAATTGATAGTGATGATGTGTCTA